TGCAGGGTCACTCTCAGGTGGGCTGGTCACACCTCTGCACACCTCTTACCTGTCAGCCTTCTCCACCGCTGGGCCCCGCCTCCTCCTCGGTCGCTGGCAGAGCCCACCTCCTCCGCCTCCGGGCCTGGCCTCTTCCTCCTCCTCCACCGTCGCCGGCCCCACCTCCTCCTCCGCTGTTGCCACTGGGCCCTGGCCTCCTCCACCGCACCTGCTGGCTGTCAGTGACTCACCAGTGGCTGTGAGGAGGAACACACCGTTGCACAGATCACTGACAGGTTGTCAGTGATCTGAACAGCGGTGCGTTCTTCCTCACAGCCGCCAGTGACAGCCAGCAGCCTGCAATGCCATAGCGACCCAGGCGGCCTGCACGGCATCAGGGGACACTTTTGTTCCTCGTCCTGGCCGGGCCCCCCTGTGCCAGACCCTTATTATAGACTCGAATGGCATTTGGGAGTCCGAATTTCCGAATACAATTTGGGAGATCCAGAAAGCAATATGGGTCTGGGAGCCATATATACTGAGTGGCCAGATTATTATGACCACCCCATTAGTACTTCGTTGGGCCGCCTCGTGACTCCACGAGATGATGAAAGGTGATGCGAGGAATCTGACACGGCACTGTTAGCCTTCTGTTGTCTTGTACTAGTCTTGCCACTCTCCGTTCTGCCCTAACATTGACTAGTCGCTGACGGCCACAATTCGCACGTTCAGACCCAGATTTTCGGCTGACAGTCCAGTCTTTAAACACTTTAACAACAGCTGCTATTAAACATTTAACGAATTCTGCTGTTTTGCTGATACTCGCTCCATGGCTCCGAGCGCCAACAATCATTCCACGTTCAAAGGCTGTTAAATCGCGTTGTTTCCCCGTATCTTCAGAAACAAATCACTTCTACTGTCGTGGTAAACAACCTGCTTCCCTATTTATAATGGTCTGGCCGTCCTAGCAACTTCAGCGCCAAATTATAGCTAATTTGCCTACAAACGTCAGGTGGTCATAATAATCTGGCCACTCAGTGTACATACATTATTAAAGCTGAGGCTTCCAGACCCGAATGGTATTTGGGAGCTCCCGAATGCAATTCGGAAATCGAATCCTGAATGCCATTCGGGTCTGGGAGCCTCAGCTTTAGTATTATATGTATATACTGTATACAGTATGGCTCCCATGTTGCCGTAACAAAAATTCGTGTTCAGACGCATTCGGATGCATTAAACTAAAAAACACATCTGGTTGGCCAGAAAAGTCACATGTCTGATTCAGTTTAGTTTTTGAATGAAATTCGGATTCGGATGCATTGGGATTCGAGAATTCGGACGAATTTTGGGAAATTCGTCCGAATTTTGATTCGGAACGAAACGAAGCGCACATGTCTAACGTCCAATTTTTGGAACATTTTGGTGCATTGCGTGACACAAATGTGTAAATGGCACCCTAAATGCTAACTCTAGATGTACAATGCAATGTGAACACAGGCACACTTCTCCTTTAACGTGAGATCCAAATATTGCACATCAGGTGCGGAGCGGTCAGTGAAATGTGTGATAAGTTCGGCACACATGACCTCGTGACCCGAACTTTCCGGAATCTATTTTAATACTTGAATTGGTAAACTATTAGTATTACATAAGAATACCTCGTTGCCACAATGTCATGTGGTTTACTGGGCCATGAACTAAATCAGGGTCGATCAATTCGATCAAAGAGAATTTTTAGCTTTAAAAACTGAAAGTTTAAGCAAGGGCATGCGAGCCACTTCTTACCTGGAAGTCGACAGTCATCTGGCAATTAAAGCTGCGCTCCGGGCAAATGGCTATATACAAAAAGGAAGTACATGTTTGAGAGCTGACAAAGGATGCGTCTTGCTTACAATTTACTACTGAGATTTACCAAGCTCTGCCACACAGCTCAGCCCTTCCTGGCAAGAGAGGAGACCTGTTTTTTCTCTGCTGCAATTAAGTAACACTTACAGGTCTTGTCCCTCCTCCAGCCTGTGATTGGACAGTGAAAGGAGAAGCAGTAGGCTCTGGTACCCTGACCTGCCCACCTATCAGCATGCTGCTTGCACTACAGCACACCTGATTGGCTTCCTGGGGTGCTTTTCGCTTAGCCCTGCTTACATTAATATTATTATGCATAATAATAGAATGATAATAAAATAACAAAATAATTCAAACATTTATTTTCAAATCTCATTGGCTCCCAGCTGAGCATAACTGTTTATATTAAATAACAGAGCCAAACAAAGGTCTTGAGAACCCAAAGGCTCATCAGCATGCTTCAATTACCAGTGCAATATTAAACATTGGCTGTTCTCACCAAACTTCTTTTCACTTCAGAACAGTGCTCATAATTAGCAATCCAGAGTCCTCTACAGTCCTCCTATTATACCAACCCCTGATGAAGGGGGATGCTCTGACCCCCAAAATGGGTTGACAGTGTTTTGCTTTTCTGGTTGTCATCAAGATCAATGATTTTAGACTCGAGTGGGGATGCACCGATACCAGTATCGGTATCTGTGCCGAGTATTTGGGCAAGTACTCGTACTCGCCCAAATGCTCCCGATACCATAACTTATGGTATCAGGAAGCCGGGCGGCGAGTCATTACACAACGCCCAGATTCCTGATTGCCCGGGAAGCCTGCTCAATACTCCATACTCCCTCTTCAATGCTTGAGAGAGCATGGAGCTGGCTTCCCAGCCAATCAGGAAGCCAGATGGCGAGACATTACACGCC